CCAGGCATAAACTCTCCCCTGGAGGTACCTTCTCACCATTTGAACGGCTTCCAGTCCTCAAGAAACAATTTCGGCACGCACTCTCTGGATAGTCATTGAAGGACCCGTATGGAGTTGAGTTTGGTTGAGGAAGGACCTAAAGCCGCAGTTTCTGGGTGGCTGGAGCCGCGAGGCACTCCCCCCTGCAGGCTTTTGGGTTTAGGGTTTCAGGGCTTCGGGCGACTTTGAAGGCTGGCACTTCGAAACGTGAACTCATCCTAAGCCTATGGTGGCAGAACTTGGGACACCCTCATCACGACAGGAGCCTTCACATCACCTCAGGCTGGATAATTAAGGAACTGTGACGAGCAGTAACTGTAGCAGTGATAACACAGACAGTTTCATGACAAGAAGTAAACCACATGCGTATGTATGCGTATGTACTTACAGATGGAGCTTTACATCACAACATGCGTAAAAGGAAAAGTCAGTATGTATATATATATATATATATACACACATAAGTGTGTGCATGTGCATGTGTGCATGTGAGTATGTATGCACATACGTATGTATGTATGTATGTCTTGTTTGACATAGACACATGTCATTCGGCTATGGGCATTCTGGCCCAGAGATGCCGGCATTCCTGGAAAGCCGCCATTTGGCCAACACACTGGACAGCACTTCATTTTATCTGAAGCTAGCCGAAGAAACACGTCCTATGCGGTCCAAAATTCCGGTCATTGCAAAGGTGGAACTCTGTGAAAGATGAGCTGGCTTAAGCGTGAGATTGGAGACTGCCACGGGCACGGCCTTAAACATTTTCAGACGTTTTAAGCGGAGAGCTAAAGGACCCAACTTCAAAAAATAGGTCCAGATCTCCTAGGCACGGCAGAACCATCTCACTTCGTGAGGCAGCCCACCAAATTCTACACAGCATGCAGATGGCACGCCTGCCTTCTCAAATTCGTAGAAACTTACAGTAGTGGTGAAGGGTCCTCCACCAAACTTGCGCCAAGTGTAGCTCACTGCTACTTGTCGAGGTAGGGCTCGACACGGCTGTACCTCATCATAGGCACTAAAGCCGGCATGGAAAAATGTCATTAGTTACCTGTAATTAGTATTGTGGGGGTTTCCTTATTATAACTATAGTATAATGGGCCCCCACCATTGATGTAAATCAATCAAACTCAGGGAAGAACAAGAATGGAGACATCTCTTCCACGCCAAGTTGCCACACGATGTATTCAGGATACACCTGGGAGGGGGAAGAGTCCAGGATCGGGTCCTTTCACTTAGCGGCTTATTCGTGACCTGGGATTGGGATCCACCCGTAGAAACCCTTCTGATCCGAAGTTTATAACAGTCCCCTTGGCACCATGGGTTACTGCACCAACTGAGCTCTGCAAGCTTGAACCCCAGACCTCCAACAACTCAGCTATGCTCAGTGCTGATCGTTGACTGCTCCATGACTACGACGGGCTTAGCGCGATGTCGGGTTGGGCTTTTCAGGGCCAAAGGCCCAAAGCTTAAAGCTTTGAATGTTTTGGGGTTTCAATTCATGGCAAGTTTAGGGATATAGGCTTCTCGTCGTGGGCACCTCGTCGAGGGTAGATGGGAGTTTGATCTCCTGTTCAGGTTTTCGAATTCCAGGGCTTGGGGGGCCTTTGGGGCCTTTTGGGGGCTGCGGATCGAAGGAAGCAGTTCAGACCTGATGTCTCTGGCGAGACACAGAGAAGCAGGAAACCAAGCATAGCTCATTGCGCCCGCCTTTGCCCGAATCCCAGCGACCGGAAAAGCATCCAGGCCTGGTCGTTGTCGAAGACAATGTACTCCCGGTACGTGCCTCGAACCTGGCGTAGCGATTTCTGGTAAGAGTTCCGGGTTATTGCCAACGGGGCTTGGAGAGATTCTGTGCTGAAGTATGCGACAGTCAGCCTCTTGCTGGGCTCCCACATGATGTTTGCGGCATCACCGAACCCTCGAGCCCAAGCCCAGACTCGGGGCATCTTTATACTCCGTCAATATACATGTATAGCAAGGAATATGTGCAAAACTAGAGGTCCAGGGAAACATCCAGCCTTCTGACGGTCTCCGAGGATGCAGTGGTAGCCGCCTGTTCGACACATCTCCTGTACAGGGGATGCGGTCTCGGCAGTAGCAAGCTGACAGAGCCAAGCACGCACGCAGCAGTTATCGCTGCCTGCAGCATGCGGAGGAATAGCAATTTGGCGGTGGTAAAGCTGTGATGGCGATGGAGGTGATGCTGGTGACCGTGATGCTGATGCGTTGTTGCGATGGTGACGTTTCTCACAATCACCACCGTGCCTACCATGATTACCATCATCGTCTCTCAGCGACAGCGGCCTCCGCATTATGCTGTGCATAAATATAAGCATGAATGTAAAAATAAATAAATATATAAATAAATGTATGTATATATATATATATTCATAGGAAGACAAGCATTCAACAACGCAAGCATGCTGCATCGGCGTCACCATGCTCGGTTTGAAAACACCTTCAGCAGCATGGTCGCGGTGTTGTCAGCGTCACGACCATGGTCACAAGCATCAAGCATCATCACAGAATCACGTTCTAAACAAAAGCTAGAATCTCAGCAAGGCCTCCAGCTCTTCCTTGCGGTCGGAAGGCCTCTTCCAATCACCTCGCTGCCCGAACACAACTCTACGCTGTGCACAGCTGGATTCGGCAAAGTTAACGGCGCCACAGTACTACCAAGTGCTGCAGGTACTGGTCATTGTCGTGGCCGATGTAGCAGTAGCAGCAGCAGTGGTAGCAAAAGCAGTGGCAGCAATAGAAGTGATGGCAGTCGTGGTCGCAGTAGGAGTAGTAGTTTTGGCTCCCACTTGTCAGCGTCCGACGGACTCTGCTCTGCAGGCTGCGATCAGCTCCCATTCAGTCTCCCCGAAAAACTTCGCAATAACTACTCATCAGACACCGACACTTGTAAAAGACGTTTTACGGAGAGAAACAGAAGGGTCGCACTGCTACGGGGAGGGTTCGAATTTACAGCATTCTTCCCGCCATTCAACAAGGGCTGAGGGACAGTGCCAGTGCTACGCCAAGGCAAGGACAGTTCTGCAGTACTTTGTACACCAGCGCAACTACGTGGAGTGTGTCCGGGTCCCATTCTTTCTCCTTTCAATGTCAAGCAAACGACAGGGAGTAGTGGTAGTAATAATTTCATTAGTAGTAGTTACTAGTTCTTGTAGAAAGAGCGTGGTATCAGCCAGGCCGCAGTGAAAAAGACGTCCACACGTCACTCTGCAAAGGATGAGCGGATTCCAGCTCCTGACGAACATCTCGCTGATGTACATGGAACGGGATGCAAAGCAAACCAACGCGACAAGAACAGCCAGCAGAAACAACAGCACAATCGGACAAGACAACTGCACTTGAGCTCAGAAGCCACGCGAACAAAAACAGAATCTGCAACAGAATTGCAGTACGGATTCTGTACATGTTGGCATCCTCAGCCAGTAGCATCTTAACGCAGACGAACCCCCAACTACTACCCGCTGCTGGCAAGAACAAGGAATGTTCAGAACATAGAGCATTGCCACATCAACTTCCAACCAGAGCCCTGAGCCGTCACCCCCCTCCCCACTCTGCACCGACCAAATTAGGAATGCAAACCCAAAAACGGCGCAAAAACCGCCAACACTTCTCATCCCAGCAGTATCAATAAGTCGAGCGGCACTACTCTTTACAATAAGGCATACGCACTGCCCTCCCAGCCTGTCGTCAGCCTTCGTGTACTCATCGGACTTCATGCAGCTCCTGTGTTGGGCTCCTACATGAGATTATATGAGACTACGTGGTAGGGCATCGTGCGAGGAGAGCCCGGCATACACTTCCAGCCGACATGCAACGGTGCCGAGCAAAGCACCCATCCCAAGGCTCCCTGACGAGAAGGAAACCGCTCTTCGCTGCTGGCAACGACGTAGTCGCAGCAGTAGTGATCGTCGTAGTATCACTAGCAGTGGTGTAGTCGTCTAGTCACTCAGCAATTACTGTTGCATGCAGTAGACTAGTCGTCGTCGTAGTAGCAGCTATCGCTGTTGCTGTTGCTGCTGTTGTTGCTAGTGCTGGTGCTGGTGGTGGTGATGGCGCTGGTTGCAGCAGTACTGTAGCCGTACGCAAAACCACAGCAAAACTCGACAAGAAGACCGGCTTAATCACGGTTCAGGGTTTAGGGTTTCTGGACCGACGTGAATGGCACAATCAGACCGAGGTTCTCTGCGAAGTAGAGGCCGCGACCGAACATAGTTCCAGCAGCCTCTGTATCGACAACATGCTGAGGTTTTATGCAAGGCGCTTTCAACTGGAGGTAACAGATTGTCAAAGTTGCTCTTGTAAGACTTGCCACAGGAAGTTGAGACGTGTGCTTGACCCAATAGGGGCCTTCATAAGTAGAATAGGGTTTTGGGGCCCACTGTACTCTAATTGCAGTAAGAGCCCCAACATGGTATTGGTAATTATTTAGGGCCCTTTATTAAGCACCTTCCAGAACAGAAGGGATCACACATCAATCACAGAGCAGCTCAGAACAGACACAGAAGAACGCGATGCAGAGATGGTTGAGGCAGAGCCTGTTGATGCGAGAACCTCCATCCAGCAGCACATCTTGTCTCGCCGTGAGATCAGGCATATTAAATGAGAGGGACAGCCTCTCGCACGAAAGCCGCGGTTTGCCAAGCACGATTGCCCATGGTGGGCGCTAGCACGTACCTCCCGCTTCAGATTCAAAGCCCCCTGGTGCAAGTTTGTGTACTGCATGTAACAGCGCTGCTTGCCCGAAGTCGACATAAACTTTCATCGACATGAGATCCCGTGTGGGTCAGGTGTTTGTTTGTTTGCGTGGCATGGAACGCGCCTCATGAGCACAGCCTCCAAATGTCAGATAGCAATTTTGAGATCTCTCACTGTGAAAACTGACGGCAGGCCCGCGGTGTGAAGAACACTTGAAAGAACACAGCAACTGTTGTAAGCTGCTACTGGTGCATAGTCTTACCTGCCAAGAGACAGAGCCAGCACGGCCCATGTCGAAATCTGTGTCGGTGATGCCATGCACACCCTCCTTGCTTGTCCTCGAGAATTGTGGTCTCTTCCCGTATGAATCAGACGTGCTTTCGGGTCTCTGCGATCAGATGAGGATTCGTTCTGTCGGGCCTTCATCTCAAGCGGGTCAGAGACTTCCGGAGGGGTGGCTCACAGGTTGTTGTCGCATAAGGCTTGGTTCATGGGTTACTATAAGGGGCTACGGGTTATCATGAAGTTTATATGCAAGTAGCAGAGGCAGGAAATGGTTGTGCACGACTCTTTTCGCTTGTTCGATTCTTCAGGGTTTAACCAGTCAGGGTCGAAACTGAAAGGGCGCATCTACTGGGACCTATCAGAAAGATGAGATGGACCTCTACCCATAGGCTCCATAGTAGTTCCTTTTTGGGATTACCTTATAGGATTCTATATATGAACCCCAAAAAGGAACTACTTTGGAGCCTCTAGGTCAACACCTGAAAACCCGCTGAACATCCTGAATCCGATGCTGTTGCGAATGAAGCCGGATCTCAGGAAGGCCATTAGGATCCACCCCCCCATGCTTTTTCGCTTGGGCACAGAATGTACGCCTAGGGACCATGAAGCGTGTATACAGGGTAGTATGCAGATAGATGAGATGGATGGACAGATAGCTCTCGATAGATCGACAAATAGATAGATACCACTATGGGCCATTAGACCCTAAAGATCCCTATTAGGACCCTATTAAGGGTAGATTAAGGTACCCATAAGGTCTAATAGCCCATAGTGGTAGGTAGATAGATATTAGACATCTATTCTCTCCCCTCATCGAGGAGTCTGAGGTCCTAAAGGGAATCCTGATCCTCCCCTTGTCCGGGAACTCCAATGCCTGCGCTTGGGGAATCGGATAGACACCCTGATAAGCCCGAAAACCTCCAGAAACGAGCGCATCTCAGTCACTCTTAAGGGTTTACGGTTTAGGGTTAAGGGTGCCTCAAACAGACGGCAAGGCACCCATGCCAGAGCCACACTTCGTTGATGCTGGCATCCACGGGCTCATCGGGATGGAAGCTGACTCCCTGCAAGGATAATATACTGGCTGATGTAGGTTTAGGGCTTCTCGAGCCTATAGGTAGGGCTTCGGGTTTATGGGGCTTTTGATGTAGGAATGTAGGGTTTTCAAGGAAGCTCTTGGATGAGCTGCCTGGGGTCTTGGATTTACGCACGAAGAGAGAGACCCAAAACTAATCTTACACAATGTGCAGCACGAGGCTCGAGGGCTCTGCAATTCAAAGGGCGGTCGAGCTTGCTAGTATTCGAGGGAGCTTGACATGCCACCGCAAGAGTAAGTAGCTTTCCGATATGCATGAGGGGCACTTGTGCCCTCGCATTCTGATCCTTCACCTGGGGTGAACATTACTGCCGGGATAATTTGTAGATGAACTCCGAAGAGCGGCTCGTGCGCTTGAACTCTCGGAACTCGAACACGCGAAACTCCTAAACCCTAAACCCTAAACTCCTAAACCCTAAACCCTAAACCGTAAACCCCTAAACCCCTAAACCCTAAACCCTAAACTCCTAAACCCTAAACCCCTAAACCCTAAACCCCTAAACCCTAAACCCTAAACCCCTAAACCCTAAACCCCTAAACCCCCCTAAACCCTAACCCCAAAACCCTAAACCTAACCCTAAACCCTAAAACCCCTAAAAACCCTAAACCCCTAAACCCTAAACCCTAAACCCCTAAACCCTAAACCCTAAACCCCTAAACCCTAAACCCCTAAACCCTAAACCCCTAAACCCTAAACCCCTAAACCCTAAACCCCTAAAACCTAAACCCCTGAGCCCTAGAGTCTCAGGAACCACAGGAGGCAGAGCCTTCATTGACACGGCCTGCGTCTTGATGTCGAAGTCTTCGGCCTGAGCCATCGGATCAAGGATCCTTCGTCTTCTCAACGCTGTTATCACGATTATCACGTTGTCGACTGTTAGTTGTTCGTGTTGTTGCTGCCTATTGTCATCATCACTACATTCGCTCTTCCTTAGAAGCTTCTGCGCTGTCTTGCTAGATGCTGGTCAGGGCCCGGAATAGCCTTGCACCCATAGGGTTGCTACTATGCGAACTCCTAGCTACAAGTACCACAAAGTGAAACTCAGGAAACAACCGATGATACGTAAAGCCGGAGATCTTCAACTCCTAAGCCAGAAACCAAGGCCTTTCGCGTACCAACTTTGTAAGCCCAGACTGTTACAACTGCCCGGACACTAAGTCGACGCAAGTGGAGGCAAAGACCGAAATTGAAATGATGTTGATGTGCCCGGATGTGCGTGCACACATGCACTATCAGGAATTGAAATTTTTAGACTTCGACATATGCTCACCTATACTAATGCGCTTAATACTGGGGGTTAAATAGGAACGAAACCTGTCAACATCGCGAATGCAGACTGATTCATTGGCCCCTCCCCTGCACGCCTCGGTGCGGAAGAGTGTCCAACTCTGCATATTTACCCAATATAGAGGACGGGGAACATCAGAACAGGGTTCTGGGTGTATTGTGCTATCACTGCCTCTCGAGTGGAGTATATGGCATATCTGACTTGGCTTGGGGCTTTTATGAGTCATGCCGATAATGCATTCTTGCAAGGGTGCAGAAGTAGGAACTCCAGATCTGACACCTCGTTTTCTTATGTTCTTAACCTAACATAAAAAAACAGTCTAGTTTTCCAAAAACGTTACACAAAACCAGGCTTTAAGTGCATCCGGACTCGAATCCTCATCCCACGTACAAACACAGCATACCTCAACACGCCAAACCCAGGTTACTCAACTTAAGAAGGAATGTCCGAAAGCAATCGACCCGGGGATCCGACTTTGAAGCCCTAAGTAGTTAGAAGGATCCATGATTTCAACGAGCTGCCAAGCCTTTATTAAGCCGAGCATCCTGCACCCGAACCCTTGAGTCGAAACTCTGAGCCCTAACTTCTTCGCCGCAGAGACGCCCTATCGGCAGGGTCCAAAGCTGCGAACGCCGCCCGGATCTCTTCGCGCCTGTCGGTTCTCGTGTATATGAGCTTTCAAGTTTAGGGGGGTTTTATAGCTGTCTCAACGATTGAAACAGGCTTCGGGGCTTATTCCGACCTCTACATATCGGGTTTAGGGTTCCAGGCTTTAGGATCGCATGCTGCATGTTATTGGATAGCAACTGCTGCAACTACGCGCGCTGAGGCTCCCAGAATAGCTTCCCTCAGCCCGAAACCCCCGAGAGCCCAATACTCCTTAATCAAGGGATATGGCTTAAATCATAATCTGAATCCCCAGTTTAAGGTATATTCCTTAATTAAGGGGCCCCTTGGGCTCTCTGGGACCGTACCGATACCTCCGTGAATAGCCGAGGTAGTTCTCAGCGTTCGCCACATGGAGGACCTCTTCAACCTCTCAGGCGCCATTTGGGTGGTTCTCAAAATTAGGATCCCTTTTTGGAAACCCTAAATATTAGGTGCCGTACTATAATAAGGACCCAAAAGGGGACCCTAATATTGACAACCACCCATTTCGGAGTTTCCGGAAATAGGGAACCCGAATATAGTATGCTAAATAATAGGATCCTTATTACCAGGACCCAAAAGAAGGTACCCCCTACTTTCCGCAAACTCCCATCTGTGGCAAAACTTAGCATCTTCGAGGTTTCCCAAAGTCTTAAGCTCTCAAGCCCCCAAAATTTCGGGTCGTGACGGTAAGGATCCGACTATTTCGGATCTACATTCGGGTCTCTTCCTTGTCTTTGCCAACATTAGCTTTTCATTCAGGGTCTTGTCAGGATCCGGCCCTTGCCCCTGGAGCCCTGAGGAGTCAGGAGCTGCTTGCCTTTGGGGCTGGGAGGATGTGGGACGTCTTCGGGGCCTTCGGTGAAGAGTTCGGGCAGGGGGAACTCCGGATTGACAGCTGCAGGCGCTTCGGCTCATTACTTGCGGGTTCAGGGCTGACGGCCGCACTTGGACAAGGGGAAAGAGGTAGTAGAAACATCGTAGCAAAAAAAAAGGTAACGGCAATGAAAAGTCGTCTAGTAGCAACGGTAGCAGGAGGAGTAGTAGTAGTAGTAGTAGCAGTAGTAGTCGTCGTCGTCCTCGTAGTAGTAGCAGCAGCAGTAGTAGTAGTAGCAGTAGTAGTAGTAGTAGTCGTAGTAGTAGTAGTGGTGTTGTAGTAGCAGCAGCAGCAGCAGCGGCAGTAACAGTAGCAGTAGCAGTAGCAGCAGCAGGAGCAGGAGCAGGAGCAGGAGCAGGAGCAGGAGCAGTAGCAGTAGCAGCAGTAGTAGTGGTAGTGGTAGCGGCAGAAGCTGCAGCAGCGGTTAGTAGTACGCACAATGACAGTGGTCGTCGCCCCCTCGTGGCCGCAGCAGGAGTATACTGTATATGTGTTGATTTACTGCTGTCGTTGTTGCCGTGTTGCTAGTGGCAGCGGCGTTGTTGTCTTCCCAGCCCTCATGCGTCATCCGAGCTTTTTTTCTACTTCTCGCTGACATCTCCCACTCGTGCATGCCATACCAGCAAGCGATGCGTCAGGGCAGCAACCACGGACACGTTTATGGAGTTTCCAATTAGCCGCCACTGCGTGCGCAAGCTCAGTGCTTCTGGCAGCTCCCATGCATCCGGAAAGCCCATAAGGCTAGCTACCTCTCTGGGCGAGAAATAGCGGACATACCTCAGCAACAGTTGGGAGATGTCGCAACATCGGTCGCCACCATTGATTGACAAGCATTGGCAACAAGACAAGCATTCCCCACCATCTAAGTAAGGAAAGCACCGACAAACATCATATATGCAAGCAGATGGAACAGCGAAAAGTGACAGAATGATAAAAGCAACAACGTCAAGTACTCGAGACAGCAGCACTCCGTGAGAATGTGTACTCGGTAACACAGAAGCAGCATGTTCGACAATTGCGGCAGCTTCTGCTGTTTCTGCCGCAACAATCGCTGCTGCTCCTCCTCCTTCTCCCCATCCACCTCCTCCCTACTACACAGCTCGCCTCAAAACAAAAATAAAACACAACCGATCCTCAAAAAGGCCCCAGGAACTTCCACCTAGCCGGCTCGAGGGTCTGGAATCGCTTGGCCCTCCCGTCCTGGAGTTTAGGCTCTAAGGCTGTAAGGGTTGAGGACTGAAGATTTATGCAATTCAGGGGCTATAAAGGCTGCAAGGGTTTAGGGGCTCTACGGCTGTGTAAGGGTTACTTAGTATTTTGCGGCTTTTGACCATCTGGCCTGGGGGCTTGGGGGCGGCCGAAGGGTGCAAAGGGCTGAAATGCTTTCAGACTACCCATAGGCCCCAAAGTAGTTCCGTTAGAACCCTACTCTAGATCCCTTATAGACCCCTTTAACGGGAACCCTATTCTACATTTCTGAAGGCTCCGATATTGCACCCCAGCCTCCGGAGAGTCTGGAGCTTCCATGACCAGAGGCCCCGTCTTGCTTAAGCCGGCACCGCCGTACTCAGCCTTCCCATATGCCGAGGTAAAGGTCTTCGTAAGCATGGTCCCCTGTGCTGAGGGATTTCGGCTTCTGGCGGATTGACTGATATGTCTGGAAGGCACAAAGCCTAAAACCCAAATACAACTGTAAGGCCCTAATTAGAGCGCTAAACCTTAAACTGAACATCCAATTCCCTAGGGCCACGGGACGGAAAGTCCAAGCTGCCTTATTAAAGATCCAAGGCATCCCGCACCCTCAGTCAACCCCGCATTAACTCCCGGTATCTTTTGCAAGCCCGATGCGGCCTTCCCTGCAAGATCAAGAGTGAAGTTCTCACGGTATGCCTGCTCCAGCAGCTTCTCCTCAGCCACAGAAAGATGTATAAACTCGGAAACGCGGTCACACCGCTTGGGTCTCACATCTTAGCTTAATATAAATATACTCCCCATCGACGACCCCAGCATATTGCAAACTTTGTCTTGCTGGAATTACACCACAGCCTCTGGTACACGCAGTGTCTCGCTGGGAGCTGCCTCTTCAAGGAACGCCTCGACCTGGACTTGCGCACATGTGGCATATTCGGCTGAATTTCATTGCAGTGGCATCAATCGCACATCACCAAGTGCAGCCCAGCCGCAGGCCTGACGGGAATGCGAGCGGTAGCTGTGCCCGGAAGAGCGGGCAAGTCAGGAAGCAGATCTGCAGCTGTCGCAGCTGAGTCTCCGGCAAGTACTGCAATCAAGTAGAACCGCTCGCGGGTGTTCGGAAACCCGAAAGCGATGGGGCTTAGCAGGTGCTCCTCGGTGGAGTAGCCAACCTCTGAGAGCGTCGACACCACACGCTCGTGGGCCCGGGAACCGCGGAACTCTGGGACGTTCTCGAGCAAAAGAGCCTACAGTTTTGAGGGTCGGAGGTAAGGCAGCTACGATGACTAACCATGCCAGGCTTCTTACAACAGCGTGCAGAAGGAGCAACTATGACCAGTCATTCAAACCTCTACGGGAGCTCCTGAAGCCGAAACCCTTGACATCTCTTGACCCTGACCCCTCAAGAGTCTATCCTTAAACCTTTACCCTGAGCCCTGAACTTTTAAAACTTACAACCCTACACACCAAACTTAAACCGCAACCATCCAGCCTGTGCCAAAACCCTGCACCCCAAACCCTACACCCTCAAAAGGCCTGAGGAGGATGCGCCAATGCCGGGAGCGCCTCAAGCAGTCGAAGCAAAGCTTTGCAACGAGGATCCTCGATATCCTTTTGCCTGGGCTCTCCCGTGGTTTCAAGAGTTTGGGGTTTGGGGTTCAGGGCGTAGCAGTTACGGTGTTTACGGCTTTGGTGGTCGGGTTTAGGGGCTTTTGGGGCTTGCATGCCTGCAAGGAAGCCAGCGGTCCCTGTGAAAGCACACGATTGCAAACTGTGGAACGGGGGGTCAGCTAATTTAAAATATGAGGCTCTTCTCTGTGCTCTGCGGTACTTCGGTGTGCTAAGCTCGTTCGGCTGGATCTGATGACTAGCTCCGCCCCGTCCCTGCAGGTCATCACGACTGCTTTTATCTGAAACATCTACCCCCCTCCCCCCCTCAATTCTTGGCGCTGGGGAGCTCAAAGCCCACTGCGCACAAAATGAAAAGGCAATTTGGCAGCTACCGTAGGGTTTCAATGGAAGAAGCAGGCGTAAGTTTCGTGTCTTCTGCCGATGTACCACGAGCTCGAAAGAGCGAACTGGTTTCTCAAGTTTGCTTCAAGCGGCTTTCCGGTTCGTGTGAAGGGCTGGCACGGTGGGCTCATAAGCCAGAGATCTCCACCCTCGAAGGCCTCATCAGGGAGTCTGTCAATGGAGCATCGCCACAGCTCGTCAGAGCTCCTCTGGCTCTTCCACAACTCGCCTCGCTTCACTCCAGTGAGATACTTGGATCCATAAAGCTCGCAGTATGCCTGGCAGCAAGCCTCGTCCACTTCGAAGGCACGCCAGGTCGGGAAAGGCTCCCTTGCCGGCACCGCATCCTTGAAAGACAGCCGCATGCCACCGACGCCGCTGAAAAACTCAAAGACACTCCGCAAAGCTCCTCGGCTGGAGCGGCCGAGGGTCCGCCCCCGCGGCGTCGAAGCACGACGGCGCTTTTCAGGAACTCTGCACAGAGCGACGACGACAGCACTCACTCCCAGGAGCTTCGGATTCTGCGCCGCTTTGGCGCAAGGCGAGGGCTGCGGCTTTGGGCGAAAGACCGCGTGCGCCTTCGCCGCTTCCAGCGGGGCCCGCGGGGCCCCGACCCAAGTGTGCCGTCGCTCGGCAGCCACAAAGTGAGGCAGCATCATCAGGGATCTATGGCGTCATGGCTTCCCGGCGCTTGCCTCATCTTGGCAATGAAGTCTACCAGTAGCAGAACCAGAATATTGAATATACAGCTTCTGCAGGAATCCTATAGACTATAGAGTCTGTACTACAAGTATCGTAGCGGCTGCATCGCGCACCATTTCGGATGCCAGGTGCCGTTGCTCTTGCTCTTGTCGTTGCCTTGCTTTTACCCTAAACCCTTGGCTTATTCAGGGGTTCGGGTTTCTAGAGGTTTAAGGTTTGTTTATCGGGCTTATGGGCTTATACACCTCATGGCGGAATTGATTTGACCGATGGCTCATGATGGCTCTTTTTGCTTGTCTGCCTGCTGAAGGCTTTTTCCGAGCAATCTACGGACAGGCAGGCGTCCTGTAATATGAGACGGGCGAGCAGCTTCGATCGCTTTCACGAAGCAGACACCTAAACCGTACCCTACTTGTCGGGTCTCATGGGGAACTAAATACTACCCCAAAAAGGTTATAAAGGTTACCTACTCTGCTATACTCGGGTACCAGATGCGCCTTGAGCGACGTTGCCAGAGGATTCCTGCGGTCCCTGGTTCTGCGGCATCCTGCGCTTGAAAAGCAATTAAGCCATCATGCAGTCCTAGAGTCCATGCAGATCCATGGAGCATCCGACTTGAGACAGCGTCTCAGTAGCAGAACGGACATGCGGAATTGACTGAAGATTGAAGCGGTCCCGGATCGGAAGACCGATGGCCGGCAGCAGCACATAGATTTCCAGACAGTGCATCGACAGAAACTCCCAAAAACAGAAAAACCAAGGGCAAGAAGTGGCCCTACTCCCTACTCTCGAAGATGTCCTCCCCAGCAGTTGAAGGTGTGGTTGACCATATCTTGCAGGCGAGCGATGAGGACTGCATCCTCGATCTTGTCCTGCAGATTTCGGAGCTGGGGGGCTGGGAGGTCCTCTGCCCAAAGAGCCCAATACCCCTTAATTAAGGAATATACCTTAATTTATAAGGGAGTTCATATGATGGTTTAAGCTATATTCCTTAATTAAGGGGTATTGGGCTCTCTGGGTAACCGACACAGAAATGGCACGTGCGAACTCACCATGTCCGAAAGGAAGGTCCACTCTGCAGAGCCCCAACAGCCCTTCTTCCAAAGGGTCCTAACCAACTGATTGAGCTATGTTGAAACGATACCTCAATACAATACCCTGAATGGTAGGACCCTTATTTAAAAGGACAACAAAATAAGGTACCCCCCAATCATACAAGGGGTGCTATGAGTAAACCCTTGTACCCCAGGCGCGCAGACGAGGAATGTGATCGACATGTGGTTCCCGCAGATTTCATTCCGCATCCGCAAGTTATCGTAAGATGCAGAGGGTTTCAGCACTCACACTCACACAAACCTTGGCGAGGATCCCAGAGGGTTTAGGGGTTTTTATGTGTATGGGGCTTCCTTGAAAGTAAAGTCTCCTTGTCTGGGGTCTTTTTGCGGCAAGGATCCCACGGATCCCACTATCGCATCCCTGGTATCGTTGCGACCTGTTTGCCAAACTGTGGGCCTCGGAGGGATGCACGTCTAGAGAATGCTCGTCCGATTTGGGATGCATCTAGGAGTTTCAGCAAATAGCAAACAAAATATTCACGGCATAACAAATAATTATGAGGACCCGGCCAGAGACACGTGCTAGGGAATCAAGAAAGAACCATCTGTTCAAAGCTACCCAACCCCAACCATACAAGAGCCTCCAGTAAGAAACTCATAATTTATAAGCAATCGGTCCTTGCGCACTGCAAGGCTTGCGCCCCTGCAGCTTTCAGAAGTGACCGGAATTTGCAGCTTCCAGCTTCAAGGGTTCGGGCGAACGTAGAGGTATTGTCGTGCAGGGGTTCAAGCTGTTAAACGGGCTAGGGGTTAAGGAGTTTTTAGGATTATATAGGCTTTTGGGGTTCAGAATATCTCGCAATACGCCCGTGTTGAATGCTCGTCCCGTAGTACAAAAGAGCAACCGGGCTCATATTTAGAATGCTATAAGGTAATCCCGAAAAGGATCTATACTATGGGGCCTATGGGTAGATCATAACCCCTGACTGAACCCAAGTCCGAAACCCTCCCGAATCCGAAACCCTTCAACGAAATCCGCTCTCTCTGAAGTGCCATCGTAAACCCTCTCTCTCTCTCTCTCACACAGGCACTCGAAGCGTCAGGCCTGGTCGAAGGGCAACATCTGTGCCACTCGTAAAACTACAGATAGGATAACTCTTGAAACCATCGTAAACCCTAAACCCCGAATCCGAAACCCTCAGACAAAATCCTAAACCTTGAAGCCTAAGCCGAGGCGCTTGTCCAGGGCCCATTCCTCAGAGATGCAGAAAGGCTTGCATCTCTCCCTCCCTCGGGCTCCAGTTACCCAAATCATGGGCCACTGGGCGAACGATTTTATATGGTTAGCAACCTACTATGTAGGTAACTATAGAGCTCTAGGGCAAGATAGGGTTTAGGGGCTTTTGGTTCAGAACGACCCCCTTTCAATTGCCGCCTCTCTGGGAGCCTGAAAGCGGGAGTTCTGCTGGGCATTTGGACAACGCTGTCGTAGGCGCCCAGTAACCCAGGAATAAACAGGGCTCCCTTTTTTGTGTTGGGTAACTCAATAAGGAACCTAGGACTACAAAAAGGGAATAAGGGTGCTACAGTACTGGGCATCCGAGTCTATGGGTAAAGGAACCCTGCAGAATCAAGGAACCGACATAGGAGCCCCTTATCACGATCCGATTCCCCTAGCTCTTTGCAGTTCGGGCTCCGCGGGCATTGCTGATCCCAGCCTTTCCATGGCATGGGTTTAGGGTTTAGGGGTTAAGGGGTTAAGGGTTAAGGGTTTAGGGGTTTAGGGGTGTAGGGTCTGGGGAACCGCAGTTTGAGGATTTCAATCAGGTTTCAGGCCCTAGCTGGGTTGTAGTTTTGGGGGCTCTGAAAAATATTTCTGAATCCGTACTATATGCTATAGGACCTATGAATGGAAATTAAAAAAAACTTCCCGAAATTGCCACCTAGTCCGGGTCTGGGGCTTCAGGAAGCCGAAAGACCACGATCTTGCTGCAACAATGGAGGCCCCATGACTCAAGGAACCTTGCCAGAATATCGGTTCCTTTGGGAGTTTCCCAAAAATTAGGGGTACCGTAATTTGGGGTTCTTATAATAGGGATCCTACTAAACTCCCATTTTGCTGCTCTGAATCTCGCTCCAAAAGGTAGCATGGACCCATAACAGCGTCACAAGCATTGAGAAGGCCTTCATAATTCTTATAGGAGTGGTATAGAAGTGCCATTTGCCTTGCCCATCTGAAGTTGCCCCTTGGTTAGAGGCTTATCGGTTGAGGCCGGCGGATTCTAACCCGGCAAAACCTCCTGAACACCAGAAGGCCGAAGCCTCTACCTAAACCACCAACAGCAGGTAAAACAATAGCCCAATACCTATAAAAGGCCATTAGTCTACATACTTTGGGGGTCCAGGTAAACCCTCAACTCTGAACCGGAATCCCTTAACCATTTAAGCCTTTAAACCTTGACTCCTGACTGAACCGCAAATTCTCAGCAGCCCTGAACCCTTAAGCCTAAACCCTGGCCACTGAACCGTAACCCCTCAATGATTCCAGTCGCCGTTCTACGAGGTCGGAAGCGAAGTCATCAAGGCCGGCTTTCAGCGCGGCCTTGCAAAGGGTCGTCCTAAAGGGGTCTAAGTCTATGCAGGCTTCCAGAAGGCTCCATGAACCTACATAGTAAGTGCTTCGGCCATGCAATTAGGGGTTCCTGTTTAGGCTCTTTAAGACCTAAGTAATGCTGTATAGCTACATGGAGCCGTAGGCTTGTGCAAGGGTCTCTTGGGTTCTAGAAGTGTACTAGAAGGGTCTTGAGGCTTCTGAAGGATTCTGCTAGGCTTCTGTTGGACTTTGTCGGGTTTACCCAACGGAACGATTAGCTCAATCAGTTCCTTCTTGAACCGGCATTCACCGTCTTGGTTTTTCTGAGGCTTGTTGACGAAACTTGATTTACACTTAGAGTCCTAAAGACTAAAGAACCCCAACATCTTCCCCCTACCTGTATAATCTTAAACACGGAATGTCCTTGAGACTGAAAGTGCATTCTGCTTTTGCGCATAGCGATCACAACATGGGAGACGGCAGATCTCACGAGTACCACTGCACCGGCAAAGCACATTGGGTATGTCGTCAATCTGACGCTAAACTCACGAAAGAACCAACAAAGGCACCGCACTTCTGAAAGCTGAACTGCCTGCCACCCCAAAGTAAAGATTGCAAGCGTGATTATCAACATATAAGCCCCTACTCTAATTGTTAAAGAAGCAGCTTCAACAGTCTACAACTCACTGCAGCAAAGAAAAAGTAAATGCGTAAACCCCCAAACCCGCTTAACGACCTACCTAAACCCCCAAAAGTAGGCAAAATAATAGCCCAATGCCTATATATACTATAAAGGGCCATTATTCTACATACTTTGGGGGTCCAAATACAAGCCTTTAAGCATGCCTAGACCCTTTGTCCAAAAAAGGCCTTTAGCCCCGGCAGTTGAAATATTTCGGAGTTTCCGAAAACAGGGAATCCCACATATAGTACCCTACGTAGTAGGATCCTGAAAAATAAATAAACAAATAAATATAAATATATATATATATATATATATATATATATAAGGACCCCACATAAGGTACCTCTAATCTTCGGAAACTCCCATTTCGGAGTTGCTGGGCCTTGTGTAGCAGGAGAAGCTCCGTCCTTAGCAATTCTGAGGGCTTGATTTGACGACTTAGGATCCCCCCGTTTTTTCGCGGCTCCGAATGCCTAGAGCTGGCTCCTACGCGTGATGATCTATATCCTGCATTACCCACAATGAGGAATGTACCGTAATTCTAAGGTCATTATAAGTAATGCAGGATCTATATCATCAACCGTAGCTTCCCATCTGCCCGTCTGCATAGAAAGCCAACGCCAGCGCACTGGGGAACAGCAGCAGCTACAATAGTAATAATAGGAAACTGAATCAGAAACCTTGCCCTTACTAGGGTTCCTTATTTGAATCCTACTACTTGGGGGTTAGAGGCCCAGGGTTTCTTAATCAGGTTCCTACATTAGCCTGGTCCCCCAGCAACAACCGCCACCACGACTGTTACTGCGACGGCGACTGCGACTGCCACTGCGAAACTGACTACGTTACGACGACGACTACGATGACGGCTGGGCCTACGACTGCCGCGACAAACACTACTACTGCTTCCGCTACTGTCATGCTTCTCGTTCTCGTCCTAGTCCTGGTGCTACTCCTCCAGCTTCTGCCTGCTCCGACTACTACTCATTGATTACTGCTGTTACTGCTACTTCTACTGCGACGAAGATATCGACTACTGCTTCTGCTCCTGCTCCTGCTCCTGCTACTGCTGCTTCTGCTGCTGCTGCTACTACTAATCCTACTGCTGCTGCTATACCACCACCACCACTACTGCTACTGCTACTGCTACTGCTACTGCTACTGCTACTGCTACTGCTACTGCTACTGCTACTGCTACTGCTACTGCTACTGCTGCTGCTCCTGCTACTGCTACTGCTACTGCTGCTGCTACTGCTACTGCTGCTGCTCCTGCTGCAACTGCTGCTGCTGCTGCTGCTGCTGCTACTGCTACTGCTACTGCTACTGCTACTACTGCTGCTACTGCCGCCTTCTTACACCTGCATCTTTTGTTTACTGCTGCAACTTTTTGTATTCGAAATTACAACCAGTCGGCCGGCAAAGCCCAAAGCCGGGGCTCCAGCTCCGCACCTAAAACACTGTTGCCCTCTTGCCGGCGGGGGTATGTAAAGGAACCCTCTTGCATTGCGTAGACTGGACGAGGTCATAGCTTTACAAAGGTCAGCTGCAAGGGGCTTCGTGTCGGAGCCCAGTCGATGAAGTCCCAAACCTTTTTCTTCGAGGTGTCACAATAATCCGCATTAGAAGACCACCGACGCCTTTTCACTTTTCACGCAGCAACCCTGAACCTTTCACCCAAAGCATTCCCGGACTTCCATGAAGATGCCGGGCGTCTCTGCGACAACTACGCCCTTGCTGCTGATCTGGCGGCATGTCAGACGACAGCTTTTCAGCATTGAAGTGTGCCAGGCGGCTTGGGCTTAGGATCCCATACCAAATCCTATAAACGGCTATTAGTCTACATACTTTTGGGGTCCAGGTAAGCATCAACTCCTGCGCCCGACACTTCCCAAGCGGTCGAGATTGGCTTGGGGAGAAGGGCTTCTTAGTTGCCGAGTGCATAAGCCCAAAAAAGTTTAAACTTTCAGTTTAAAGAAGGTTTCATTATCCCAAAAAGTTTAAAGTATATAAACTCAGCTACTCAGGCTTCTGCCAGAATGCCGAGTCCACGGCCTCTCAGGCTCGCGCTTAGAGTTTGGGTGGTGTCTTTTTCAGGCCTGGTACTTCGACTTGGAGGTTCATGGATAGTTATAAGTAGGGTTATAAGTAGGATAACTGTAGCTATAACCCATAGTAAGGGACTCATAATCCCACTTCTAACTACCCATGAACCTCCAAGGAGGGGCAACATAGCTATTGCCCGCGAACTACACAGACGACAGATGTGCTCTGAGACCTGCGAAGGCTAAGAAAAACAGCCCATGCCCCAAGACAAATCTCAGCGGCTGTGGGCGCAGAAATAAAAAAACGGTTTAGGGTTTAGGGTTTAAGGTTTAGGGGGTGCGAGGTGTGGTCCTGGGTATACATCCTCATCTGGACATCTTCAGGTGCTACTGTACCAGAGCGCATGCAATGGCCAGGCCTCGTCCACATGACCTCGCAAATGGTTTCGGGCCTCGGAACACACCGATCATAAGCCGGCTGGTTGGAAATCGCAGAAGCGCGAATCACCGCGCCTCCTTGGCCAAGCCGCTGCAGCCGCGCTGTTGCGCGGACGAGGCCAACTCACAGATACCTCAAGCAAACAAATAGGGGACCTGATGATCACAATTGTGTACCGATGTTGGAGACTGCGATAGCTTCAAGGGTTTAGGGTTTATAGGCCTAAACCCTAAACCCCAGGGAGCTGCGCGCAAGAAAGCCCTGGGTCTTTGCCTGAAGCCGGAAGTCCCAAACCCTCAAATGCACAGAAACCTGAGAACCACAGCCGTCCGGACGTTGCAGAAGACCCAGAGACTCCAATATCCCTTAATTAAGGAATATGATTAAATCATATTAGGGATCCTCTTATAATTTAAGGAATATATTCCTTAATTAAGGGATATTGGAGTCTCAGGAGACCCTGAGGCAAAGATCGAGTAATTCAACCGAAGCCCTGATCGACTTGGGATCCTCCGGTCTATACCGGAGCAGCAAAGAAGCGGAAAGTGCAGGGTTCCGGGGCTCCTCTTCAACTACGTCCACAAGAAACAGCAGGGCTGAAGGTTCAGGATTTAACAAGAGTTGCAGGACACAAAGTGGACGCATCATACCCAGAGACTCCAATATATCCCTTAGTTAAGGAATATATCCTGAAATCATATGAGCGATCATGGTCTTTCCCTCCCGGCGCCCCTGAGGTTCTGCGGAAAAGGGCCTTCCCAGTTCCGATTGTCCAGCAGCTTCGAGAGCTTCTCCCTTGGACAGGATTCAGGGCTTAGGGGTTTTTGGCAGAGGGTTTCGGGGTTTTGGGCTTCAGGGCTTCGGTGCTTTGGGTTTAGCTATTTTTTTGGACGCCCCTTTTCCGATCGCCATGCTCCAGAAAGCGGTATTCCGCTGGGCTTAGGGTTTAGAGTTAAAGGTATGTACATAAAATCTCAAAGTTCCCGATATGCATGCAGTACAAGTAGGACCAGTAGTGTTAGGGGGATCACCTTGTCATGGGTATGCTGCAGTTGTTGATGGTGAAGTCTGGAATCGTGCTATAACAGCCTTGGGTGCCACGGTTCGTGCCCGTTTCCCAGTGTAGGCATGCAGCATGTGCGATCTCGCGGGCATCACATACATGTCTCTCTGCAATTATGGGGCAGCTTCAGTTTCAAACTTCAAGCCCTAGTACTCCACACACACCTAAACTTCTGAGCCGCAGCACAGCACCCTCCACTCCCTACCATACAAGTTCCATTTCATAGAGATATAAGTTTTACAAGTAAGCCCTTTTCATCCGATCGGTCGGAGGCCTGGGCTGAGCGAGGGGTCTCAGACTCTCAGACCCTAAAGTCATCAAAATGTTTCCGGCATCAAGAAAGCCCCGAAGACGAAGCAACCGTCCCCCAAAACCCTTTTCCGCCATGCCATCGCCATTTTTGCAGCTGGGCTTTGTGGTCGGTCAGCGAGTCTGCACACGCTAAAACCCTAAACCGCACGCACAAAAGAAACAAACAAACAACGAATCAGCACGCCGAGCTTACTCTCAGCAGGCTCTTGGGCACTCTCTGGGGCACCGGGCACAAGGGCCAGGACATCTTTGGCTTCCTTCTTCACCTGTTCTTGGGGCTGAGGGGGTTCGGGATCAGGACCTGGGAGACCGCGAAACCTAAGCTTAATAAATCTAAACTTTTGAATAATGAATGGGGCTGGATTGAGGTAAACAAGGCCGATCGCCTTCTGGGAACACTAGAACCCTGCAACCCCTCCCCCAAAATCGAAACACTCAAATGGGGCCGTCATTTAACAACTGTTCCCACGGTGGCTTTTGGATATGCCTGCTTATAGCTTCTACGCAGCTGGCCCCTCCCTCCCCCCAGCCCTGGCTTTCACAAGCCTCAGAAGCCCCCTCGCACCAGGTTCATTAGTAAAACAAAAAATGATAAAACAAAAATAATGACGATATTCATCTCACCATAATAGTAACAACATTCGTAATAGTAATACGTAGCAGTAGTACTAATGCCAATAACATTAATACAAAGAAGACATGCCTATCGGCCGGCCCACAGTCGGAAAGTTTGAACCCCAGCTGAGAAATCACTCATGACGTAGTAACAACTTAATCAGTAATTTAGTAGTAGTGTTGTAATATGCACATCATGTACTACGATTTTCCTACATAGCGAAATCTTTTGAAGACGTAGCAAGTTCACAGCAGCGCATATCGCAGCATCGCAGCTGCACCTGCTTGGGCGCTGCATCTCGCAGTGCGGTGAGAGAAGGCACGTCCTTGCAAAGAAAGGAGAGGTTTAGGCTTTCCGGGCCCCTCTAACGAAGGAAACAGAAAAGAATACCTCTTGTGGGATCCCTCCGCGAGGGATTCTTAAACAACAAACATTGCCAAGCTTTGGGGCCCTCACCCCAGCCTCTTGAGTTAGGCAGGTAGAACCTCAAACGTAGGGTGCGGTATGTCTGTCGTCGGCCGGCATTGCCATCTGCTCCAACATGTGCCTCTCAAAGAGTATAGGTAACAGTAAACCAGATTGATTCAAGGAACGGCGCTTGGATCTTTGAATAGCACTCGTGAAAGGAGATATGCGATGATTCTCGGTGACGTTCGATCCATAATATAGCCAAATACTTTAGCCCCAAACCCTAAACCCCAGCGCCAGGCAATAACAAGCATTCAGCCTAGCATCTCCTGACTGCTTCGCTTCGTCCAAGACCTCGCAAGACATCAAACGAAGCTTGGGGCTTTATATACGGGTTTAGGATATACTCATAGGCCCAAAACTAGTTCCTTCTTGGGAATCATAAACAGAATCCTATAAGGTAATCCCAAAAAAGGAACTACTATGGGGCCTACGGGTAGTTTAGGAAAGTTTACGACTTCGACTCGCGCGGCCGCCATGAGCCTTATAGGCAAACGACACATAGAGCTACGGTGGCAGGACAGAAAGCAAGAAGTTCAAGGCTTTTACGTAGTCCATGTCCATTTCCCTTCCCAGATGCGCGTTGAGTCATCTTCTCCACCTCAGCTCTCGGGGTCAAGGGTTTAGGGTCTAGGGTCAATACAACAACCTAAACCCCCCAAAAGTAGGTAAAATAATAGCCCAATACCTAGAAAAAGGTCATGATTCTACATACTTTGGGGGTCCAGGAAAAGGGCCATGTCCTTTGCTCAGGGCTCAGAATTTACTAGGGACTCGAGGCTTCGTGACGTTGTTGAGGAGGTAAAAGGCTTCTGGGCTTGGGTCGGGAAGGGAATTCTTGAAAAAGGGCAACGAGGATTCCTAGTCCTGTTCACTGCTTCCAGATGCCCAAATTCAAATCAATAAACCGCTTGCTGTAGCACTTTTTCAGACACAAGGTGTTGTCTGGCAGTTTTCGCTTTTTGCAACAGGCTTCGTACTTCGCCTGGCAGTTGTCCTAAGCCCTAAACCTGAAACCATACGGGTGTTGTCCGGCAGGTGTACTAATCCCTATAAGCCTTAATCCCGGAACCGGGATGGTTTTGGGATCTCTAGAAGGAGCAGAGAGTGCTCTGCTGGAAGCCTCGGCCCGGAAGACTTCAGCGAAGGCGCCTGCTTCTGCATCCAGTCTGCGGCCTCCCCGCTTTGGAGCAGCTTGTAGATCTCGATCACCTGCCGGCTGGGGCGAGTTCGAGTTATTATGATTTGGTTTTTTTCTAGGGTTTGATAACCTTCCGGGGTTTTGAATTTGAGTTATTATTGGTCTTATTATTTGGGTTCAGAGTTTCATGGGTTTAACTGGGCTTTCCGTTTCGTGTACTTCCGGCTCAGGTTTCAGGGCGTTTTCAGGGCTTGGGTTCGGGGCGTTCAGCATTTCCCACCGGTGAAAGGAAGCTGCTATAGCAGCTAACGCAGCCCGTCCGATCCTCAAATCAAAGCCCCTGAGTACTGAGTACCAACTTGGCGTTTAGGACTTAGGATGCAAGGAGTTGCGTTTCGGGGTCTATGGGTTCTCGTCTACAGCTTTGCCAGATCTGGAACTACAAACACATTGCTATTGTCATAGATGACGGAAAAGACTGCGAAGATTCCCGCTGATGTTTAACGGTTTGCTGCACGAGCACACCAGAACCTCCCAAAATAAGCTTGTCGTTCCTGGTTGATTCAAGCGCACGCGAGACTGCGGATGGAAATACTGGAGATGGTGGTGGCCGTCCCATGCAGGCTCTGCATGTTGTTTCACCGTGCGGTCGTCTGACGCGCGCAAGTTTTGACCCTTATAAACCCATTTTTTAGGAGAGGCTGCGGCGCGCATTGATCCTAAGCCCTCATCCCCTGTTAACCCATACAGTATATTATTCACGTCCTAAGCCTTAAACCCCCCCCAAAGGGCCCTAAACCCGGTATTGAAGCTCCTCCGCTTACCAGCAAGGGGACCCTTTTCTTTCTATAATTAGAAAAAGGAGCCCCCAAAACAGTATAAGTAACATTTCAGGCCCCTATACTAAACCCCTATAATACCCCTTATAGTAAGCAATATAGAACCCTTTAAAGGAACTCTTAAAGGAACCCTAAGCACTGTCAGCTTGCCTTCATCACGTCGGAGGGATCATCTTTGGCGGCTCGCAGGGCGGAGTCGAGACTCTGGAGTCGCAAGGCTTTGGAAGCCCAAGCCTGGGGCGCTTTGGGATTCTTTTTGCGGGCTTTAGGGCTTTAGGGTCTAGGCTTTAGTAAGGGGTTTAGGATTTAGGGGTTTAGGGTTTATAGGGCTTCAGGGTTTTTGCGGGATTGCTTTTGGGCTTTCGGGCGTTGGGGTTGCGGGTTTGGGACCTTTAGGCTCGAGAATTGAGGGGTCTGAGATGGTTTGAGAGTCCGTTGGGTTCGGATGTTACGGCTTTGTCTTGAGGGTGCAGTGCTCTCAGGGTTGTGTTCGGATCACAGAGCATGTTCATGTTTTGACCGGTGGGAGGCACAGCACCGTGTACGTATAGGTTTTAGAGATGTTTACGCTCTCGCACTCGGGCAAGCCAGACGGAGTGATGTTTCGGGCTTAGCGGGTCGGCTCACTCCTGCGCTCCTCCCTGCAAGGTCTGAGGTCGTGACTTCTTTTCCTGCCTTCTTGGCCCTCTCTGCCATCTTTGCAGGCTCCTGCCATGCGAAAGCGCGAGAGCGAGAGAAAGTGAGAGAAACAACAACGACCACGGCCACAACGACACCACCAGCACCAGCAGCGCCTTCACCAAAGCCGCAACTACATACAGCCCCAGCCGCAACCGCGACCGCAACGACAACACTCAGCAGCAGTAACAGCAGCAAAGGCATCAGCCTCAGCATCAGCAGCAGCAGCAGCACCAGCAGCAGCAGCACCGGCAAAAGCAGCAGCACCGGCAAAAGCAGCAGCAACAGTAGCAGCAAAAGTATCAGCAAAAGTAACAGCAAAAGCAACAGCAGCAGCAGTAGCAGTAGCAGCAGCAACACCAACAGCAACAGCAGCAACCGCAGCAACAAGAGCATTGTGACATTCAGATTCTTGCCAAACAGCCATTTCCTCTAATAAGTATTTTCACGATTCCGATGCGATTTTGATATGGTTTACGATTTGGATACGGTTTGGATACGATTTTGATACGATTCTGGTACGATTTCGATACGTCTCCAGCCTGCCCCAGGACTGGTTCGGATGTGTTTGCCAGGTTTTTGATATGGTTTCGGACTTGCAGCCGAGATGCTTTCCGAGCCGTGCTTTCCCGCGTAGCCGGATTGAGTCGCAACCAGAACCGTATCAAAATCGTAAACGGGAAGAACACCTAAACCATGTGAAAACCATGCGAACATCATAAACGTTTTTCCTGGCGCATACCCGTAGTTTGCCGGGTGTGATGGTCACAACAACAGCAGCAGCAGCAGCCACTGCGACAGCAACTGCAACACCCCCAAACGTCACCAACAGAAACAACGACGACGACAACATGAGCAATAACATCAACAACACCAAGAGCAACAGCAGCAACTGCAGCAACAGCAATATCAACAGCAGCAGCTACAGCTACATCCAGCACCAGCACCGGCACCAGCACCACCCCAGCAACGGCAGCGCGCAGCGGCAGCGGCAATAGCAACAACGAGAACAACAACAATAACACTAACATGAACAGCAGAAGCAGCAGCAGGAGCAAAAGCAACAACAGCAAACAAAACCATACACATGGTCAAAAACAAAACAGACCGCTGAAAAGGAGGAGGATGGCGCTTGCTCTTTTGGGGGCTCGAGTCATGAAGTTGAGATTCTGTTTGTAAGATCACCAGACAATGTAACCACTAATAGGCCTGTCATTCGATCTCGCAAGAAAGAGCCGCAGACTTAAGGCTAATTAAAGTGAACAAGATGACTAACGAGAATAGAAACAAAAACCTGAAACAACCTCGAGTAGTAGCAGTATTCGTCGTCGTCGTAGTAGTAGTAGTAGGTGGTGGTAGTGGTAGTGGTAGTACTCAGTACTCATAGCTATCACGACCGCAACAGCGATAATGATGCCTGCAGGCCGGAAGCCTCCGCAAGACTCTGCCGACTGACATGCGACAGTCTCCTGAAAACCACCACACCCGAGCTTCATGCCTACCAAAGCCATGCACACAAGACCCTAAGCCAAGATCCAGAATGCCAATAGCACCAGCGTGAAGCCCAAACTGTACCAGGCCTTCGGTGCGGCTTCTTCACCTCGCTCCTGCCAAGCCGCGAGGAGCGCATCCACCGCCTTCTCTATGGACTCCTGCGCTCTTTCGTCCATAGCACCACTCGGAGGACCACCACGACAACAGCAACAGCAACAACAACACCATAAACTGACTAACTAATTGCAATTGCCACCACTACGACGACAGCTACTATTCCTGCTGCTGATCCTCCAACTACTACCGCCACCAGCACCAGCACCACTTTCTACCATTGATCATAATGCCACTGCCACTGTTTCGCCTGCTGTCGTCATGTTCTGCTTATGATTGCTACCATGACTCGTCTTGTCCGGTAAGAGCTGTGTTTGTCTGATGCAGGCGGTGTCGATGCTCAGTTCTTTGCGTCAAAATGGCATTGTTTAGGCCCCTATATCTAGGCCCCCTATATTATAGTATTACTATAATGTTATGATATTAATACTATATAATATAGTTACATATGATAACCTTCTAGATCCCTTATTGTAACCCTTATAATCCCCTCCAGTGTAGCTCCTGGAAGGCCGGATTGTCCGAAGACCAGTCCTGACAAGGTGGTTCTTAATAATTCTAATAGGGTTTTGGGGCCCATCCCAGACCCCCGGGAGGATCCACCAAGTAGATCCCTTAATGGGGTGTTCCTATAAAGTACCAGTAGTATCTCTCTCTCTCTCTCTCTCTGCCGTGCCATCATCAAGTGTCTCGCAATGCAAGGGCACGAAAAATGCAGGCCAGAATATCAGGAAGCATAGCTTAGTAGTATAGGGCCCCAAATTAGGGTATCTACTTTCTAGATCCTCCCGGGGGTCTGGGATTATACTCTATTCATAATTAATCAGGAACCCCAACATAGTATGGGCAGTTATTAATGGTTCAAGCTTATATACTTCTAATTGCTCAGCGGTCCGGGGTTGAAGGAGGGACGAAAGAAGGAGGGACGAAGGTTTGTAGTCGAGGAAGACCAGACTATTCCCAAAGAGACTGGGGACACCGAAAGTAGGCCGAAATTTCGGGATCAAAAGCAGACCAAGACCAACCTTCAGGCAAACCACGAAGCCATAAAGACCAACCAAGACAAACGTTACCATCGATGCCCTGATACCAAATCCCACAGCCTAAATCCCAAGGCTGAGAACTATCCGTAAGGTCAAAGTTCTCTGTTCCTGCCATGCCATTGCCATGTTCTGGGATGTGCTTGTCTGCGCGTACGCGCATTCACACGTGAAGGGCTTATCTCGTGCTTGGGCTGGGTTTTGCCATTGGGCATGCTGTTCCTTGGCAAACCGCACAACCCGTAACGAGTTCTGAATGCCGTCTGGCCCTTCCAAGCTGCATGCATGTAATGACCCTGCAGGCCAGGGGTCCAAGTCGGAACGGAAGCCAAACTCAGGGGCCAATACGAGAACTTCGACTTCGAGGCCTTAGCATCCTTCTCAAAAATCGCATTTAGGCCTTGAGGAGAGGTCTACTGTAAGGCCTGAGGTCTACACATCAGCCAAAGCACGTACTGATCCAGCAGGCGAATGCCGTCTCTTTCGGAGCTGGCGGTGCTGAGGAGCTGGTCCAGCAGAGACCGCAGCGGTTGCTTCTGGGGGCTATTCCTTGGTGTTTCAAAAGCTACACGAGCCATGGCTAACAAGTCGTACCATGGAGATTAACACATTTACAGTCTGCCTCTAGAGTGGCCCTCGTGTCTATCCCTGTGCTGTTCTCACTTGACATTGGCTTAGACTTAGACCCTCGTCTCAGAAAGTATTCAAGCCTTCGTCCAAAGCAAGCTGGCTCCAAAGACAAGCATTCCCCATTCGCAGCCTGCTGACGGTTCTCAAGCCCTGAACTGGACTGTGAAACCAAACACCCAAAGCCCTCGAATCCAAACCCGAAAGCCTAGGACTGCACCAACCGAAGCAATGCCTTTCAACAGATCCAAGGATCAGTTCTTGAGCACGACCCAGCGCCAAAAGCAGGTCGCGATAGCCCAGGATTGCCTCAAAGGCCCGAACGCCTAAACGCCCTAATCAAACATATAAGGGTTAAGGAGGGGGAGAGCAATAGAAAAGGTGGCCGTTCTCAGGGTACTCAGGACTAGAGTAGGGAATCGGGTTTCGGAACTCTGGCAAGAACCGAGAGCCTACTAAATCCTCAAATCCATCGAGCCCTCAAATCCACAAAACCACACAAGGTCAATATGAAAGTCTAAAGCCCTCAACCCTACAGCTCAAAACCCTAAGGGCCCAAAGCCCTGGCCTCTTAGTACCTTATACCAACCAAGAGACTCTTTGGGCTATATAGAAGCCTGAACAAAAACTAGCAATACTATTCCGTCCAGCTCCTTTTCCTGTAGGATCTGTTCTACTTAGTAAGGCCCGTAGCCCCTATATCAGAACCCATACAAAAAGTATTGAAGGAATCGATTCCTTAGAGGAAGCCTAGTGTCATTTTCGGCTTGGTGCCCCACATGTCATTCCTACTCTAATCCTCGCATTCAGACCGCCAGGCAGGGCAAAGCACGGACGAGTCTGCGAGCAACTCAGGGCATGCCGATAGCAAGAAGTGAACTCCAGGGCGGGCTCCGAAAGTACTGCTGGAGATATAGCGTGCCGTTTAACTGGAGCTCATTACCACGGAAAAGGTTGAAGACTGCCTGGACGTACTGTACTCCAGAATATCCAAGCCCTTTAACCCCAAACCCCGTTTTCCACTGGTCTGAGGTTATAGCCACCCTTAACCCTAGACCTCCCTAAACCAAAACCTCTAAAGCCAAAGAGGGGCTTCATCTGGATCGGACTGCTCTGCCGCCTTCGAAGACTCCTCGAGCCTGTACGTCGACGCGGTTTGTTCATTTAGGCTGTGGGTTTAGGGTGTTTGGGTTGGTTTGGGGATTTATGGAGTTTGAAGCTTTTTTTGGAGGGGGCTGAGGGTTGAGGGTTTTGTCATTGGAGCTCTCCTGAACTGATGGTGGGTGGTGGGTCTATGGACAGAGGGTCTCCAAAAAATGCTTCGAACTGCCCTCAGAAGCATGCAAGGTGCTCCGCTGGCTGCAGAGAGGGGAGCGAGACAAGGACGGCAGGGAAGGCAAACCCCAAAGGTGTGTGTGTGTGTGTCTATACACACACACACATCTTCATCAACATTATTCACCTGCGTTGTGTCCATAGATATGTATGTATGTATATTACATGTATACATGTTAAACATGTGTGTATATAACACCAGATAAATCCTACAGGTCTACCTAGCCTGGGGACAATGTCCAGACAGGAGCCACGCCTTGCGTTGAACATGTCATCCGCCTGCTTCTCCAGATCCTGCATTGAAACGTTTCTGTTGACGCCTGCTTCTTGCTTCCTGAATTTCCAAAGTCTTGGTGAGGCTACAGCGCCTCAATGGATTTGGGTCTGAGGATACTGGGACTTGAAAGGAAAGAGATATTATGTGCACTGGATGTCGGGCTTGCACAGCGCCCAACTGTCTAAACAAGGGATAAACATTTGAGGTTAACATCTATGTCCCCATCGCATTATGCTGAAAACAAACAGGCTTGCAACGTGTCTATTCATCCAACTAATATGCGCAACTGTATGTGGCTCTATCGAGGGAAGACATGGTGAAGTGCAGCAGCGGCGAAATGCACAATGCTGTACATGCAAAGAATGGGCAGGTTTGAAGTGAGGTACGGGATATGGATTGGCATGGGTTGTTAGCTACTGGTCATGACTACTACGGCCGAGCTTTAAGCGACATGTCTAACTAGAGAAGACTATGTTCATGGACAGCACGTGTTATAACTAAGCCAGCGGGCTTTCCCAACCTCGGACGAATAAACATGCTGCTGTATGCTGGAAATACTGCGACACACAGGTAGGATGGTCGTAGGGGTGAGATCCGTCATCTTGCTCATATAAGGAATGAAGGTGTCCATACAAGGAACATACAATTCAGTAGAGCAAGACATAAAGAAATACATTTCGACATAAGGTATAGTCCCAACGACACGGATTTGCGGGTTCAGTCGGGTTCAGTCAACACACAATGCGACGACTAGGAAGGATGCAACAAATGTGAGAGGATGATTGCATCATCGTGTAGATGTTGGGGTAGCTACAGTAGCTAGTATATAAGTGCATAGATGCACGTGGGCTACGTTGGGACTTAAATGGAGCCTGGAGGTAAGCGTAGCTGTGGAAGATATACAAACACACGGGAGCAATTGGAACAGGGCCACGATATACATACATACGTACGTACATACATAGCTGTATATTGTATGCAGTCACGCTGCCTGCATGTATGCATAGAAACATAGGTGCATAACCATGCGCATACATACGTTCATGCATGCGGACACTGCCCATCTACTGCCCATCTAGGTCCCGGATAGCGATTAACCACCCACCCGAAATACAACTTAATCGATGAACACATTGGTGCAATCCCACTTGCATACATACGTGTATACATACATAATCGCACATACACACATACCTCTGTACTCACTTGTCTACATATGCTCGGACATAAATACATACATACATACATACATACATAGTTACATACTTACATACACACAAACACGCACATATACATACATGTACTCATTCAACCCTGCATGGATGCACTTAGAAATATCATAGAAATGCACATGCATTAACACATATGTGCTACATCCAAACAAGACTTACATACACACATCCAGACAAACATCCATCCATGCATGCATGCATGAATGCACCTTACGCACGAGCAAAACACAGGCACACATACACAAATACAGGCGTGCATGCACACATCCATACAAATCCGACACGTCGCTGGTCTTCGCCAGCAGCATATGTGCATTAGCAGCAGCTCAGATTATCGGGACTCAAACTTAATTATTCACACCTTCTACTTGGAAGCGAGCCCTTGTTAGTGCTTGGATTGTAAGGTTGTACAGTTTCTGGAACTTAAGGTCAAGAACGCCCTTCATCTGCCAACCCACAACGCAGCAAACAACCTCTCGTGTCTGATGCGTCCAGGCCTTCCAACCTCGCCGAACAGCCACGACGGAGACTTCAATGCAAGTTGCCGGGACCGAGTCTCCTGCAAAAAACAACAGTCCTTCTGAACATTATTCGAATTTGGGCCACAGCATCGATCACAGCCACGTTCAGGCAGCAGAAACGTCTCCAAAACCATAGTCAACACAGGATGGAGGTACCCCAAGAATTGAGCATGTCTCGATGCCTGCTTCCCCAACAGCTTATGTTATCGGCACGCTGCCATACACCTCCCTCACTCCCCCCTACGATAACGAGCACATCGCTCCGACGTACTTGTCGGCTGCAGCTGCCAGCTTGGTCTCTTCGTTCTCACGCTCCCTTCTCTCACCTCAGACAACACCAAATTCTAAGGCGAGGAAGGCAGGGCTGCGTCCAGCAACTGCCTTCTGATTTCAAGATCGTTGTGCTTGCATGACATGCTGCCGGCTGTGTCACGCAAGGGCCATCCCAACGGTACTTAGCGCCGGGATCTGGCTGCCACTATTCCTAAATTCCATCGAGCATCTTGTTCTTCATCACCGAAAGATAGTACGAACCGACAAGACAAGACGGTTGATCACTGGAAAAATCAAACTCACACAGGAACCTGGCTCAAATTTCGCTTCAACAGAGAGGTTTGGGTTGGATATTTTCCTGGCTTGGGGGTGACGGCTTTCCTTCTTGCTTTCTGGACGAGTTGCTTCAGGATCAGGCTCTCACTGAACTTAGACCCCTAGCAAAAATTACAACTGTAGCTGTTTCTGAGGGATCAAAGGAACCGAAAACGACAAACTATTTCTAAGTACCCCTAGTGTGAACACGTCAACGTTTCAAGCCTTCCATCGGTTCCAGGGACGATCTGCCACCCTACCGCGGATTTGCCCAAGCTTTTAGCCCTGTTCATACAAACCCTAAACCCTAACGCCCTTTAGAGGAGCCGGACTCTGTAAACCCCCTTTTTTGCACAGACTTGTATATGCCCGCCTGGATGTCGGATGTCAGAGCGCTTTCTAAGTCCCCTAAACTCTAAACCCGAACCCTGAAATCTGAAATTCTGAATCCCACCTCTCGACTCTGGGGCCCCCAACATTTGACTCCTACAGGCTCCCTCCTGAATCTCCGTGACCCTCTGAACCATACACCTGTCCTTTCATCCGCCGACCCTGGCGGCGTGTTGGATGGGTCTCGATGGGCTTGGAGGTGTTAACCTCCATTTTTCCCTCCTCCCAAATCCCGCACACCGGGCGCACCCCGGGGGGGGGGGGTACCCCATGGCTGTTTGCAAGGAGCACCCAAGCCCCCAAAAGCACCACACCACAGCCCATTGGGTTCAAATCAGTTCACTTAGGAGACCACCAATTTTTTTTCTGCCTCTCCTCCCCCTCCCCCCCTCCCCCCCTCCCCCCCTGAAACCATAAACCTCTAAAGGGGTAGCTCTAACAGGTACCTACAGCAATGGCTGCATGCTCATACATATACATTCCGCTGCCCATTGGCTCACAGTGGTTTTACCATATTGAGACAAGACAAGCTCTCCTTGCGTAGCAAGACAAAACAACTACTGTCCGTGTGCAGGGCGCTGCCCTTTGATCCTTAGGGAATAACTGGTCATACACCTCCTTACAAGGAGTATCCCTTGGGGGTGTATCGGCACAGTTTTCTGGTAGCGGAGCCCGGAAAGGGCCGCCCGCCTCACAAAGTCCGCTACAGCGGTCGGCCTCGCCGAACGCTTAACCAAGCGGACAAGAGGCAGCACAATGTCGAGCTCGCATAGCGAAGCCGACGGCAGTTCCCAGTCCTCCGGGGGATATGAGAACGAAGAGACCTCCCAAGGTCCAGCTACTTATGTCGCACAGTCATATGCAACATCTGACCGCATGCTTGCATCATTAGGCATAACGCCCAAGATCGCGCCTGCCTATGATGGCACCACCTCGTGGTTTGAGTATGAACAGTTGATTGACGACTGGTGCGATATAACAACGCTGGATGACACCAAAAGAGGTCCGTCTCTCAAGACGAGGCTCTCCGGATTGGCCGCAGTACAAAAAGAATCACTCAACCGAGAAAGGCTTGCAGCCCCAGACGGAGTAGATTACTTCAAGAAGAAAATGCGTCCATTTTTCGTGAAAGGAGAACAGTACGTTTTCCTGTGGCGTTTTCTCGGCCTATTCAAGGCATGGAAGGGCAACCAAGACTTTGTGACTTGGATTGCTAAGTTTGAGATCGTGCTACAGCGCGTGAGAAATTCATGGATGGATCTCTTACCAGAGATAATTCTGGAAGATGCCCATCCTGATTTCATGCAGGCTGTGCAAGCAGATCAAACCTTCATGCGCCTACAGGATGCAACCGAGAGAGACACATACGCCGCACGTTTCTTCGAAACATGGAACAAGGAACGCCTTGATAATCATCGAAGAGCGTTTCCTCTAAATGATAATCTCCTAGCTCTCCTCTTCCTAGTGCAGTCCGACCTAAATGAGATGCAACGTGAGAGGTTGGTAACAGCATTGACCAACCAAGGTTACCGAATTGAGACCTACACGTACCCTATAGTACGGCAGACCATGTTCGATCAGTTCTCAACGACCAGAACTGGTCTGCAGGATCCCAATATTCGGCACACTTCTCACAAGAAGGACCGCCATGGAAGGAGAGATCAACGCCGCAAACGCGGAGGTCGAAACTTCCTCATCCTCGATCAGGGTGAATACGATGGAGTCGATGGATTCTGGCTTCAAGACGAAGACACCCTTGAGGAAGGCTTTCTTGCCGCCGAGGATGAAGAAGCTGTCTTTTGGACAGTTGACGACCATGAAGCCTTCGTTGCAAGGAGATTCAAAAAGGGAAGAAGACCAAGAATGCGTCCCGGATCACCGGGAAGAGCAAAGGGTGGCAAGCGAAAAGGACGTGGCCGTTTTAGGTCATACCGCGGAAAAGGGAGAGCCAACCAGGCAGAACATGATCCAACTGATTCCAGCTATTTCGGTAAAGGTAAAGGAAAAGAAAAAGGAAAAGGTGGAAAAGGCAAAGGAAAAGGAAAGGACAAAGGAGATAAAGGAAGCTCCTTCAAGGGTACAAAATCAAAAGGCAAAGGTAAGGATACAGCTAAGTCTGCCTCCTTACAAGGAGACCAAACTGGATCTCCACAGGCCTATGAAAGTTCCACCGCACCGAGCTGGGATTCATGGTATGAGGACAGTTATTATACTGACTCCAGTTGGAATTATGCCGCTTATGACGATCAAACGTCTTATACATACTATGCATCACAAGCCTCACGAAGAAAGACACGGAAAAAGAAGAGAAGAAATCAAGCAGGATCATCAGGTAGAGGCACAGATCCGAGCGCGCACCAAGAACCCGTGTACAACTCATCAGTGAGTTACGCGCCCCAGGTTTTTGAACCATCTGAGGGGCAAGGTGTGGAGACTGCAACAGCAGTGTTTCCGTTGCAGCACACCGTCCTATCTGCTCTCACCGAGCGGATCAATCTTGATAAGAGCCCTACCTTTGTCATTCTTGACTCTGGTTGTACTAGGGCTATGGGTTCCCGCTATGCGGTGAACAGGCTTATCAAGGCCGTGAAGCAACATGCCCCAGGCATGATTGATTTCACTTTTTCACCTTCGAACACGAAGTTCTCTTTTGCAGATAGTGAAACAGCTCTTATCAAGGAGCGTGTAACACTATGGTTTAACACAACTCCAAGAAGAGATACAACCATAGAAGTTTTGGATCAGGGAAGAGTACCCATCTTGTTCTCCATTGAACAGATGAGAAACCTAAGAATGACTCTCGAGTGTAGTCCCACAGCTGACCTAGCAACGTGTGAAGCTTTCGGTTTGTATAAAACCCCTCTTCCGATTAGTACCAATAACCATTTGGTATTGGACCTTCTAGGCTTTACTTCCACCAGGAAGTACCCTCCTAAGTCAGGTACATCGTTCCGTGCGACGGAGACTGCTCTAGGAGCCAATAAGCCTTATGTTAGGATACCGGAAGGTCGCTGTCCAGCCTGTGCCGGACAGAAAAAGGCTCACACGTACCTCAAGGGTTGTGACAGAGCACCTGAGGGAGCAGCTGATCCACCACCGAAGAGGATTTCAGGGAAAAGGAAGCCTCTTCCATCTGATCCGGCAGAATCATCTGCCAAAAGACTTGATCCACCAGAAACATCTGGAGATGTTCCTGAGCCTTCCGGACCATCGGAACCATCATCAGGCTCTAGGGACAAACCTGCAGAACCCTCTGCACCGCATGAACCTCCAGAAGAAGAAAGACTTGAGGTTCCATCTGCGAAGATAAAGACTCCAAAGGGTCTTAAAAACCTTCTGAAGAAAACCCGCAAATATGCGGATAAACCTCCTGTTGAAGAGAAGTCTACAGTCCCAGGAGCTGATGACGGGACGGAGGTAAGACCACTTAAGTCAAGAGAATACCCTGCTCCTGGCACAGACTCAACAACAGGTGAAGAGATTGTCGCAGAACCTTCGCCATCTCTTCCCATTGCTCTTCGCAGGATTCATGAGAAGCTTAAGGACCCTGTAGAACTCTACAAGCTTCACCTTAAGCACCGTCATATGAGTACGGATCAGTTTAAGCGACGCACAAAAGCCTTACAGATCCCAAAGGAGATCTACGAGCTATATGACCAACTGGTCAAAAAGTGTTCAGCCTGCCAGGAACATGTGAGAGCTCCTTCGAGAGCGAAGATTTCTGGTCTAAGATCAGAGACTTTCGGTGATCTCACCTTCGTAGATCACGGTGAGCTTCCAATTCCTGGCAAAGATAGTCGCTTAGTATTTCTTATTCTCTATGATGGAGCAACAAACTTGTTGACTGCCGAAGTAGTCCAGGATAAAGAAGAACATACTACAATGTCTATTATGAATGACTACTTTGAAAAATTTCAGATCAACCCAAAGGTTGTAGTTGGAGATCAAGCATTCATGACTCCAAAAATGGAGGCTTATTACAATCGGCAGAATATCAAGCCTGTGGCAACAGGACCTGGAACACCATGGCCCAACAGGGCCGAAGCTGCTGTAAGATTGCTGAAGCATCAGATTAAGCTCATACTTCAGATCCTGAAGGATGGTGACCCGCAGTATAACGGAATCACCATGAAGTATGGCAACCTCGTTCGCCAAGCATGTTTGGCAAGAAACTCTTCGATTACCTACGGAGGAGTTACTCCTTTGAAATGGCCTTTGGAAGGCGTCCTCGAGATGTTATCACACCAGAGAACGCCGATCCCAATCAGTTGACAGGTAATCCAACTGATACGGAAGTCACTGCGAGAGCCATTAAGGAGCTTGCCAACAGGGCCTACCAAGAGGCACGCCAATCTGATGATCTGCGTAGAGATCTTGCAGCCAGACTGTCAATGACCCAAGGACCTTTCTCTTTGGGAGATAAGGTTTTCTACTGGTCAGAAGATAAGTCTAAGATTGGATCCACCGGGTCCAAACATGGATCTTGGTTAAAAGGTAAGGTGATCTCCGAACTCGGAGGATCCATGGTAGGTGTAGATCTTGGAACACGCATCGTCCGTGTCAATATCTCAAAACTGAGGAAAAACTATGACATAACATCTGATGTGGAGATTCCTCTCGCTCCTGATGAGGAAACTCTGACGTCAGAAGGTTCTGACCACGCAAGTTGTATGGTCACCTTCGATGCTTCCTTGCAGTCGACAGACCTAACGATTCCTCATCAAGAGTGTCACTGGCAGGTCACCAGTATTGGGAAGATTGATTTTCTAGAACTCTACGGCGGATCTCCCCGCATGAGTCACAAGGCTGCCCTATCAGGTCTTCGAGTAGGTCAGCCAGTCGATTTGCGTAGCGGTCTAGATCTTGAGCAACCGCAAGGTCGCTCCAATCTTCTTAGGATCATCAAGGAACAAGAACCTACTATTATTGTTATGTCACCTGACCATTCTCAGTGGTCTAGCTGGTACTCACAGTGGAAGAAAGGCTCTGCCAAGAGACTTTCTGTTTTAAAATTCTGTGAATCGGTCGCAGACCACCAAATGAAGCTCGGACGTTACTTTGTTCTTGAGAACCCATACTACAGCAGGCTCTGGTCTTCACCAGAAGCAAAACGCCTGTTTTCTAATCATAAGATCAG